ACTTCAAAAGAATCCAAAAGTGTTTTCCGCCTAAACTGACTTTCCCTTCTTCAAAGGCTAGCATAGATCAAGCACGACTCGGAACCTTAGGGACTTCCCCCAGCCCTTCTCATTGTCTTCAGCCCATGTAGCAAAAGTGCCCAATTTGTTTCCAATATATTGAGCCACTGTGAGATTCATGCCATTAAGTGGTAAGTTATATGCTCTCACCCAAAATGGCGAATGCAGAAGATCAATGGAGGATGGTTGCTCATCTCCTCCAAACTGTTTAAGAACCAGGATACTCTTTTCAAAATGCCACGGCACTCGTTCCAAAATAAATTGAAGGTCCTGACCATGGTGGAACTGAAACAAAATTATCTCCTTATTCCATTCACGTGCAACAACACCTATAGAAGCCAGAAAACATAAGGTAAGAGAAAACACAGAAAAAAATAACAACACTCCTAAAACTAGAGCGCAGGTGATAAGAAAGACAGGCAAAGTGCACAAATGACGGGAAAGGGGGTTAGACAAAAAATGTTACGAAAGATAGAGAGAATACGAAGAAAAATGCATAAAACTCCCAACTATAGAGGACAAAGTTTTGAAAAATCGAGAAACCCTAATTCTTATAGAGAGAAAAAACCTAATTCTCATAAGGAGAGGACCCTATTTTATTAAACCTAACAAATGATTTATCATGCCTTTTAATTTTTTTAGTTTTGAGTTTTAATTCAATTTTATTTATTTTATTATTTATTAAAGGATTCTATCAAAAAAATTCAATTTATAGTTAATTTTGTAATAATTAAGCACTTGAAAAGTCAAAAATAGATCCAGTTTTGAGAGTGAAACACATGCACCAACTAAAAAGAAAATAATTTAATGTCTTTTATACAAATAACAAAATTTCCTTCTTAAATAATAAAACTATTTATACCATTATTAACTTTTCTTTTATGAACCATCATTAACAATAAAATCATATAGTAAATGAATATATTGAAAGTTTCATGTTAAATTAAAATTAGAAGAAAAAAATTCTACCAAAAGAAATTATAAAAAAAAAAAAAAAGAAAGATCAACCTGCAAAATAAAAGAACAAACAGAAAAATGCAAAAATTGTAGAAAAATAAAGCAAAATGCAAAATGCAAAAAATGAGAAAATGCAAAGAGCAATCTACAGAACACAAAATGCACGAAGAAGAATGAGAAATCAAATACAAAAAATTAAACAATAAAAAAAATACACATGCAAAACTGGAAGAAGTGTAAAAAAGCTTAAAAATATGAAATGCTGAACAATAAAAAAATATATGCAAAATTGGAAAAATTTTAAAAAACGCTAAAAAAAAGACATGCAAAACTACAGAAAATAGCAGAAAATGCAGAACAACACCAGTTGAAAACTCAATTCAACATTTGATGAAGTTTTACTTTATAAAAAATTCAACAAAATGGAAAAGTTAAGACTATTATAGATCCAAATGCAAATCAATAAATAATAATAGTACTTAAGTTTTGGGTCAACTCTTGGTGTCTTTGAGAAGAACATATGCGTATATGTGGTGGAATCTCCAGACCATTTATCCGGGCCCACATGCCGGCACTTTGTCGCATTTACAAGACATAATGGGACATTACTGTAGTGTTGAATAATTATGTTCTAGTGAATAGTGACCCCACATATATTCTTAACTTTTTCACGTACACATTTTTTATTTTGCCTTTTCTCTTTTATACATACTAAGTTACAAGTTTACAAATAAATATAATTCAATTGTTATATATAAATTTTTTATTATTTTTTATAAATTATAATCTTATGAATAATTTATATTATTAAAAATCTAATACTATTCATAAACTATAAAAAAGTTTATAAAATGATAAAACTAAGAAATGCAATTATTAAATAATTTATTAAGAAAAAAATATAATCATAATAGAATTATTTATCAATCAATTTAAATTTGATTAACTTAATTTTTTCATATATAATGTGATAATATAAATTGTCTGTATTTTTAAAATATAAGAAAGTATTAGCTATTATAATAATTAATATATTAATCATTATTTTAAAGCATTATTTATAATTTTGGCATTTCTTTTTACTTTTTGTCAAAGTCTATGTGCATATAATTTATTTTATGTTTTTTTCTGAAAAAAAATTCTTTCAATTTTTTGTATGATATGCTAATATAACGTGTTATATTATAATTTTATATTTATATATTTTTCTATTGAGTTTTAATTGCTATTTTATACCAAATAATAATTGTAATGATATCGCTAATTATAACGTGTATATATTAAATTTGTTATTTTATATATTTTTCTATTGAGTTTTTTATTGCTATTTATCCAAATTATATAATTTATAAATTTTATTTAATATATTCGTTAATAAATTATAATAAATTACTTATATTTTTTTAAAATAAGTTATTCTATAGAAAATTTAATTATAACTAATTAAATTAAATATTTTATTTAAAAATATAATTTTAAATATATATATTCTTTACCAATATATATATTGAAATATTTTTAATAAAGTTACCTCTTTGGTAATCCATCAAAGCTATTATTATATATCATTATATTATATTTACCATATAACTATGTATATTATCATATTTTAATATATTATTATATATATATAATTATTATTTAATTTTAATTTATATGAGTTTTTGCTTTCAAAATCACCGACTCCAATTATAAAAAAGGTTTTGAAACCGAATAGGTATTATCATATTTTATATATACTATTATAGTATTATATATATAATTTTTTATTTTATGCATATATATATATATATATAATTTTTTATTTTATGCAATATAATTTAGATTTAAATATAAAATTAGTATGATCAATCAAAATTAAATAAACCGCGTGAGAAAACAGTGTTGTCGTGCTCGTAATAATGATTTTCCCACTTAGCTCTTTTAATTTTTATTAATTATATTTTGGTCCTATAATATTTTCTTTTAATCCTTTTATTATTCTTTAATTAAAATTTTGCCACAATAGTATTTTATCCATTTAATCCTTTTATAGTTATTTAATCACATTCCTGTCCAATATTATTTTGGCACTTAACCCTTTTATTATTCTTTAATTAAATCCTTGTTATAGCTTAAATAATTATTCATTTAAGATTTCTTAAATTAAAAATTTTTCTAATTTTTTATCAGAAATTATAGAAATTTTATTAATAAAATTAAAAGGGATAAAACTCGCGAATATGAGAACTACAATCTAGCGAGAGACATAATAGATAGAGAAACTTAATATGAATTTTCCATTCCATTTTTTGAATACATGATTATAAATAATTTGAATAGTTAATTTTTTAATATATAAAATTGATGTACCATTAATTTATATATAAATAATTATTAAATATTAACTTTCTTCGTTAATTTCATTTATTTCCATACTTTTTCATTTTTTTTAGACTCAATTAATTAATAAATGTCATACATCTTCTATCATATAATGAAAATCATTAGAATTTGGAAATTTTGTAGTTCACATACAAACATATTACTATTAACATTAAGTACTATCAATACTTGCATTTATAATAAACAATTCATCAAATATTAATCATTAAATGTCCATAATAATTTATTTTCAAGTAAATTAAAGATCGGTTTTGTAAACTTATATAAATCTTTACTAATACTATTTTTAAAACAATATTTATTTATTTATTTATTAGTTCAATCAATAAAATAATAATTTTTGATACCTTATTTTAACCTAAGGATAATAATATCTATATAAATTTATATTTTTATAATTTTTTTTAAATTCACTCAAATTAAAATTTGAAAGATAAAAAATTAATAAAAATTATTTTTGATTTTATTTGTATAAATTGCAAATTTTCATTTGAAAAATACTATAATAGATTCACACTAAAAAACTTTTATATTGTATATATTCACAATTAAGAATTTAATTTTTACTCAAAATAATGCATTTTAAAATTATAATGAATAAATTAATCGATACAACACTAATTTTGATCTTTGCTACATATTTAGGTGCATATTCACTTAGTATAAATGTAAAAAAAAAAAAAAAAAAAAAAAAAAAAAAAAAAAAAAAAAAAAAAAAAAAGGAAAAGCGTTTTAGTGCCTATATTATCTTCATGTATTCACATTGCTCCCAATAAGGATTTAGAAAAAAAAAAAAAAAAAAAAAAAGAAAAGGTTTTAGTGCCTATATTATCTCATGTATTCACATTTGCTCCCAAATAAGGATTAGAATTCTAGGGCTACATTATTAGATATTGGTAAGGCTACGAAAACTTTGTCATTTTAATGGAAAGAATTGAAATTGATGGGTTTAATTTAATTTTTATTAAATAAAATAAAAAATCTGAGCATTTTGACAGTTAGTCAATAGAATCCTCAAAATCTCTACAACCTCTAATGGAAACTTTGAATCCGACAACCCATATGTTAAAAAGAAACACAAAGCTTTTAACAAATTATCATAAGTGAAGATATCAACAACACACTTTCTTTCAAGCATTTCATCAAACATCTATGATTTTATGTACATAATTTGAAATTCATAAAGAAACATTGTAACGAGAATACCCAATTTTTGTGATAAGATGGGATGGAACTTGAGTTAATACGAATCGATCTTAATCAAATGACTAGTGTTTTTCCATAATTAATTTCAGGACAAGATTATGGCTGAAACTGTTAAATTAATTTCAAGAACTGGTCGGGATACATGCGGTTTCATGCACAACCATAAATAAATGTTATTTACATTTCTATACAGCTAAAATGGAAATTTATATATTTTCTTTTTTTTTTTTAGAAAATATTTATCCATCTGCTGTACAGAACTGAAACTAGATTATACATATCACTTCTAAAAAAGCAGATCATACATATATATGAATATAAAATTTAGCTAATTAAATTGGAATTCCCAACTGCAAATGGCTTGGTCAATAATTAAGGCATTTATTGCTTTAATGAATTCCCAACTAACATTACTCTTTCCTTAGTCAACAAATAATCATCTTTCAACGAGATGATAAAGAAAAGGAGACGAACAAGAAAAAGAAACTACAAGAGAGAAGAAAAATAAATAATATAATATAAAATAAAAAACAAAAGAAAAAGAAAGAATTCCCTTCCAGCACTGAGCACTCTCTCCTTTCCATGTAAGCCCCATTTAGTGCTTTTTCCAAATCGCCTTCTTGTCTTAGACCTTCATGAATTTTCTTCACAGGAACTCTCTGTATGCTTGCTGTTCTTGCTAGCCTCTCCATTACCTCAATCTACATTTAATGTCAATTTGTTTTATCTGAGAAGAATTCCTGCAAGGTCATATTCTAAGGTAGTCTCTTCCTTTTTTTCCCCTTTTCTCGCACATTACCATTATATATATGTATTTTTCAATATAAAATTTTTAATTTAATTTAGTTGATATCTTGAAGGTGTAACACAAAATACCAACATGTTTCTTTAATTCTTTTGCTAAATTATTTCCTCGTAATGGCATCAGAAGGCACCACCACAAAAAATTTGATTCCCTATATGAACAATAGAGATTGTTCTCAAGGGTTTTGCAGCTTGTATTGTCCTCAATGGTGCTATGTAATCTTTCCTCCACCACCTCCTTTTTATGATTTCCCTAATGACAATTCAAGCTCACCTTTATCTCCTCTTTTTATTGCAATTATTGGAATTTTAGCTAGTGCTTTCCTTCTAGTAAGTTACTACACCATAATTTCTAAATACTGTGGAAACAACAATCACTCATCAAGAATTAGAAGGGAAGATCAAGAAATTGGAAGTGAAGAATTTGAAGACAACAATCATAACCCATCTCTTCACGAGCCTTGGAATTTAGTCACAAATGGATTAGATGAGGCTCTAATAAAATCAATCACAATTGTGAAGTATGAAAAGGGAGATGGTTTGATTGAAGGGACAGATTGTTCTGTTTGTCTTAGTGAATTTCAAGAAGATGACAACTTGAGGCTTTTGCCTAAGTGCAGCCATGCTTTTCATGTCTCTTGCATCGATACTTGGCTTAAATCTCACTCTAATTGTCCCTTGTGTCGCGCTAATATTGCTATTCTTAGCCTTTCGCTCACTCCTTTGCCTCCTTCTCTACCTCAGCCTCTTCCTCCACCTCCGCCTCTTGCGGAAAGCCTTCAAACCAGTGGAGTTGTTTCAGAATCATCAGAAGAAATTATAGTGCAAAATAATGGTGTTCCTAAGACACCATTTCGTGTGTTTAGCGATTTAGGGAACTTGCAGCAAAGAGATATAGTAATTGAGATTAGAAGATCATTTTCAATGGATCATCCATATGAAGGGCGCAATTCGGTTGCAGAAGATTGCTCATCAGGACATCCTGTGGAACAGATCAGCAAGTGTAGCCATAGAAGAAGAGTCTTGCAATGTGTACTTAATCCTGTTACAATGAAGAGATCTTTTTCTTGTGGAAGATTTTTCCTCGCTAGGCATGGAAGGGTGCGTGACAACGTTAGCTATGTATAAAATAAACAAATAAATAAAGTTCTTTCTAGGGAGTTTTTTATATTTTTCTTTTCTGTTTTTGAGAAATTATGTAAGAAGAAATTGAGAGACATTTTATTATCAAATATGTTAAATTTGTACTGGCATGTTTTTAAAATATTGCTATTTATATTTATGAATGAGAGTTATCGAAAATTAGTGAATAGAGGATGTTCCTTCCCCTCTATTCACTCTTTTGTTATTGCCCGTATAATTGCTATTCTGTTACATTTTATCCAGAAAAAAAAAATATATAATTAGTGAGGAATATTTATGCCTCTGTCGTTGGGAAAATGCTTGTCGTATGATTTGCAAAAATATAAATTTTCTAAGATAAATACATTAGTGCTTAATTAATCAGCTTTAAATCAATATAAACAGTAAAGGAATGCTAAGACCACAGGTCAAGTTTAGGAGAAATTGAATTGAGCTTCATTAGAAGTAGAAATTAGAGAGAAAAATTCTCTATTGTATTGATTATGATCGAATGACAAGATATTTATATTGGGTTAGCTGTATATCTGTATCTAACAATAAAGACTACAACTAGCATATCTATAACCGTCAGCCATGTCAACGTGTATTGTTAGACTGTTTGTTAGAGTATGTTTGGGCTTTTAATATGTAAGGTCGAGGATGAATAAATAAAATTAGTCCAATGAGCAAACCCAAATCTGATATACGGTTGGGATATCTATACTTCTATAACTATACTATATTGTCAAGACGGCCGGAGCGACACTAGGGTCCAGGTAAGTTTAAGGCCCCCAAGAATTACAGTGAATCTAACTCACATTAATTCACCTCTTTAAAGTCGATTCCAGGAACAATAAGCTCATAATACGGCGATATTTAATCATATTATCAAATCAAGTCTCTAGCTCAGCTTTTATTTTCAAATAATTCATAGCTCGGGCCTGTATATCATATAATATTCACATCGTTCATAATATGGGCAAATTGGGCCAATCGTACTTTTCGAGAGTCAATTGAAAAATTCCACAAGTTTATTGAACAACACACCGATAACTTTCATATGGTGAATTATAATATGTGACTCTATCTACGGATCTCGTATAAAGATAAATACATTCTTATACACAATACTATATACTCAAATGTTATCAAAAACTGAAAATTTCTACTTTAATTCTACGAAGAGAGAAGCAGAGGTGATCTGAATCAGCACAATGTCTACCTCTTGGAAGAAATTTAAGGAAGGGGGGTGAGTTTCATAAATTCAGAGAATAAAATAAATAATGCATAACCCAAACAATCACATATGATGCTTTTCACATTTATTATGATGAACACTCATCCAATCAGGCACATGTCACAATATCACAACCCATAAGTATTATCACCTTCAAATAATCACATCAAATGGAGATTCGTCAATGCCGTGACAAAACCCCCGACAAACCGTCCTCGCACATGGCCTGTCATCTCATATGTGTGCACCAGGGAGCCAATCTCCCTTATATGGTCAACTGGTCTAATCCTCACTTGACCAGTCCTCTCATTATTTTTCCATTCCCTCTTTCTTTTCGTTACTGATAGGAGGTCATCCTGTGATTTTGCCATATCATCCATATCATATTTCGTCAGGTGCACATGGGGGCCAACTCCCGTAACCGGCCAATGGTCTCGGATCATTCTCACAATCCCATGGTGACCCATTTCATCCTAATTTCACCCGGATATAAGGTGTAACGCCCCAAAATTTTCGAATCTTAAAATAATATTATTTTATCGGGTCATGAATGGTGCTACAAAAAAGGGGATAATATTTTATTTAGATCCCAGGAAGATATTGAGTATGATTAACTATGAATGGGTAGTGATTTACCAGTCTATGAATAGTATCACCGGTCTGTGAATAGTACTATCGGTCCGGGAGTCGGAAATAATATTATATCGGTCATTGAATGGTGCTACCAAAAAGGGGAAATATTTTATTTACGATACCCAGGAGATATGAGTATGATTAACTATGAATGCGGTAGTTGATTACCAGTCTAAATGAAATAAGATATCACCGGTCTGTTTGAATAGTACTATCGGTCCGGGAGTCAGGTTACCTTGTTTTGGTCCGGGAAAAATGTACTATTATATGTTTTTATATTTCTTTAATATTTTTGGAGCCTAGCTATGTATGCCATGATTTTATGCGATAGAAAGTAAGTAATTGAATATTTTTTAAATTAGAGGCAATATTTTTATGGAGTAAATTTGAGATGGTGTTATATTAATTAAGGAAATTAGAGGAATAATTTTTAAGGATTAAATTTGAGAATTTGTGGAGATAAAAAAATATTTTGAAGGAAATAAATTGGAGAATATTTTTAGCTATTGGATTAGATTACCATTGACTTAATCTTAGCCATCCAATTCTGAGAAAAGCAATTGTGGGAAAAGACTAAACTACCCTTTAGTTGCTTTATATGTCAACTTCTCAATTATTGAGCAACACTTTTTCTTTTCTTCTTCTTCTCCTCCATTTCCAACGCTAACTTCCTCTCTTCTTCTCTTCTTTTTTTTCTTCACTTCTACTCACTAAATCCACCAAATTTACACCATTAAACTTGATTTAATTAATTAAGCTTTGAGATTAAAGCTTGAGAAGTAATTTTTGGTGAATCATTTCAAGAAATTTGGAGATTCTCTACTTGAGCCAAAGGTTGGAGAAACCTCTTCCGTGGAGTAAAGGTAAAGTTAGGGCTTAGAAAGCTTTAATTTAAGCTTGCTAATTTTAAGGTTAGTGATACAGATCAAGGGAGCAAGATGAAGGATCCTTTAGCTCTACCCGAGGGACCAATCACAAGAGCTCGTGCAACCAAGCTACGAACAGCCTTGAATATTTTGTTGGAACTTTGATTGCAATAACATCTTCTTGGGTGATGTTTGATGAGCATATTAGTATTGGTAGAAAATCTCTTACCTTGTATTTTGTTGTTCATGTTTTTTTTCATGTTAAAGTAAGCTGATTTTGGGAAAAGTGTTATTGGGGTGAGATTAAGGACTCATTTTCGACCATTTCTATTTTCCATTTGTTGTCTGAGTCCTTCAATGAAAGTTGTAGGTATACTTCTTAGCTTTCTAACCCATCCTTCTTGTTGTCCATTTTTTGGATATATATAGCTCAACTTATGGCTGAAAAACCTAAACTGACTCTGTTATGCCGGGCCACATGCATCTTTGAATTGAGTGCCCATTTTGACCATTATGATGGCAAGATTATGTTCTGAGTTCTTCATGAAAGTTGTTTCCCTGTATCTTAAGACTTCCCTAGTTTTGGATGGTTTAATTTGAGTGTTTGTGATACGGATCCACTATCACCAATCACCTATGAAGCTTAAAGGAACAAGGACCACAACAATGGCAATCCATTAGTACTTCCTAGTGGACCAATTACAAGGAGCCGTGCAAAGAAATATGGAGCAACCATGTCCTTGTGGTCCCTTCATAAAATTTGTAACATTTTATCTTATCTTTCTAATGAATCTAATTTCATTCAATTTGGAGACCTATAACTCAAGTTATGTCTTAAAAACACAGCAAAGGTCAACGATATTTTAATGCTGGAAATTTCCTATGCCTTGACTCATAGGTTTATTTGGATAAATGTGTGTATGAATCATGTGTGATGAGGTTCTCTTGATTATTTGTATGTTTGAGGATTGATTTGACAAAAATAAGATATAAGTTTGAAAAGTGGTATTGTGGATATGTTTAAATGTATATAAATGGGAAAAATTATTGGAAATTTTGGGATAAAGTGTGGAATTAGTTTAGATACTGCATGATGAGGATAGAAATGGATACCTTGGTGCATAAGAGTTATGGTGCATAAGAGTTATATTAGTATGCTTGGTTGGAGAAGGAAATTCCTCCCTTGGTTTTCATTAAGAGGCCAAACCACTCTAGGTGGTAAGGCTTACTTACTTATTTGTTTTTTTTGTAAGGTATGCTATCTATATATATATGCATAAGTATGATTATTTTGATAACTTTCATATGTTTAGAGTTTAAAAAAATGGGTATTTAAGGTGTATGTACTTTGAATTTTGAACAAGGAAAGTATGATTTTATATGATAAGAAGTTTCTTATGATAAATTTCATTATGACTTTTGTGAACCCCTTCCCCAAATGTCAAATAGGCATGTGATGCATATGATGAATGAGAAGAAATACACGTGATGTGTGTGAGTCGCCACCTTGTTCAATTATTTTAGGGTAAACTAGGAAAAAATTTTTGATTAGAAGAATTATTGCTTTTGTGAAGAATGATATTTGATTTGGGCTTCTAACTATGCGATAGATTGAAACGTAGGTATGATGAGATTGATTGTTATGTGAAAGCTATGATCATATGCATAAGAGAGATAAAATCAGCACCTTATAAATAGGCAGACGCGGCTATTTGCGTGTGTGGGGGTGGTGCTTTCATAGGCCACGATTATGTGATGGGGTGGTGCTTTTATAGGCCACGGTGGTGCCTTTCATAGGCCACGATTGTGTTGATAGGGGTGGTTCTTCATAGGCCACCGGGTGGTGCTTCATCTAGGCCACGATCAAATCTGCTTATGTTCATTCTTATTAGTACAAGCCTTAAACTTAAAGAATTAAACATATTTTTGTTCATGTTTTTTTTTCATGGTTAAAGTAAGCTAATTTTGGGAAAAAATGTATTTGGGTGAGATTAAGGGACTCGTTTTTCGACCATTTCTATTTTTCATTTGTGTGCTGAGTCCTTCATGAAAAGTTGTAGGGTTTATACTTCTTAGCTTCCACCCATCCTCTTTGTGTCCAATTTGGAGGATACATAGCTCAACTTATGGCTGAAAAACCTAAACTGACTCTGTTATGTCGGGCCACATGCCATTCACTTGAATGGAGTGCCCATTTTGACCACTATAATGACAAGATTTGGTTTCTAAGGTCTTCATTGAAAGTTGTTCTCTGTGTCTTTGAGACTTCCATGGTTTGAATTGGGTTTTAATTTTTTGAGTGTTTGGTTAAGTAGGAATTCAATAAACATTGGACTTAGTTCTGCTGAATCGGGTCTGGACTATTGGTTTGTGTTCCTAGCTTCTATGTACCACCTTATACATTGATCTGGGCTGTGGTCCCTTCATAAAATTTGTAGAATTTTATCTTAGCTTTTTAATGAATCTAATTTCATGCAATTTGGAGACCTA